GGTAACCACTGGAACACCACGTCATGTCCTTTCGATAAAACCTCGTGAAGCACTTATCTTATTTCATTCACAAGTTGTTGATGCACATTTTGTCGTAAAGCTGATTGCAAGCTCTGAAGGGATGCCTTGGAGTCGCAGAACACAGCCCATTTTTGAGGCCGGGCTTCTGCGATATAAAGTATAGCAACACGTAAGGCGGCAAGCTCCGCTGCTGTGGACGCAGGACGGAGAAGAAACGATTGTCCTGTTGTGACGCAAGTTGGCAGCCGAAGGTGATGGAGGTTTGCAGGATCTCTGAGTGATATCGCTACGATCGGTCATCATACCTGGAGCTGAGACATTTGCGCTTCTCTCGTTGTTTCGGGCTATGAACTCGTGCCCTTTTACTTTTTCGTAATATTATTATTAATTCATACCTGGTTTACTCAATCGAGTGGTATGGTTCGTTTAACCAGTGTTTAAATAGGTGTAATCCTTCAATTTTCGTCTTTATTGTTCATTGGTACTGTACTGACTTGTTTCATCGTTGTTTTTTTTCCCTCGCTATCCCTTTCTACTTTGTTCCGTGTTACATATAATCGTGCATGTGCCCCTCCCCTCTATAATAAACTGTATCTATTTTGAGGGTACTTCACTTAAAATAAATAAATAAATAAATAAATAAATAAATAAATAAATAATGTAGCCACAATTAACATTGACAGGGAGATGCAAAAGGGAATGAGCTCTGAAAAGTGGGCTAGTTGGTATATTAGAAGAGTATAGCTTTGGGCCACTTGGTGATGCATACTTGGTGAAATGAAGTGCGATCAAAGTGACAACAAACGAAGAAATACACAGGGCGAAGCGTTTCGTGCCGTATGTTTCACTTTTTGTTGTATTGTTTATTGCGCTTCAATTAACTAAATAGTTGGTGCAGATTTCCAAAGGAACAATAAACAGTTGTTCTCGTGCGATTCCATCTCCAAGAAGAGCACCCCTGCCTCGTAACCGAAAACTACACAAATACTTGTCTCCCCCCCCCCCCCCCCCCTCTAAGCTGCACTAGCACTTCCTCTTCCCTAGCCGTGATGGAGCTACCAATCCTCTCTCTCCCCTAGGCGGAATACTGTCGACCATGATAACCGATCGTTTTGCATTGCCACGAAATATCGTCATGAAGGGGATCTTCGATCACCCACTTATATGGCGATTGGCTATGAATTATTTATCGTAAGCTTCTAGGTCATAGCGGAGACGTAAAGCATTCCTTTGAGGGGAGTGTGAGTATGAGTCTATTGAGGTCAGTGTAAACGAATTACACAGGGCATGGGTTTCAAACCCACCTGAGCGGGCGGGTCATGGTGCCTAAATAAATTCCCACCGGGGCCGGGGTAGGGATGTAGGTAGGACCTGAGGGAAGAGGTGTGGTTTATACAAAAAAAAATTGCCCGCAGCTTCCCTCGGGGGAACACAGAGGAGGATGCGGACCATATAATTGGTTAACGGGGTGTTAAAGTGCGACTTACTTGGGTCGATGGCTAAATTGGTTAACGTGGTTGTGAAATGGGGTGTTAAATTGCGACTTACTTGGGTCGATGGCTAAATTGGTTAACGTGGTTGTAGGAGGGGGTGTTAAATGAGTGAACACGTACACACGTATGCGAAAGGGCGGCGCTGGTCGAAGGGAGGTTGATCATTGTGTTTGTGGATTCGTTGGAATTCATTTCACCGCGACCTTGGACGTCGACGCGCCGTACAAACCAACCGACGAGCGGCAACTGAGCGAGCGAGCGCCGACCTTGAGCATATATACAGCACGACGGCGCATGCACTGTCAGCTGTTGAATGTTCTCGAAGCGCGACGCCACATGCGCGTCCACTGGAGAATCAGGAGAATTGTAGATGTCGAACGCGGTGTGTAGAGGAGGAAGGGTGCACAGATGGTGGAGGAGTGAAGCGCGCGCGGTGTGTAGAGGAGGAAGGGATGCACAGATGGTGGAAGAGTGGGCGACGGCGCGACGGCGCATGCGCGCGCGTCAGCTGTCGAATGTTCGAGAAGCGGTGCGGACGGCGCGGACGGCGCGGACGGCGCACTACAAGGCGCGAGTATAAGATGCTCCGCATCTAATATTAGCTAACGTTGTCACTTCAAAGAAAGCATCTTCCATATCCCAAGCATGGGTCACTCCTGAAGGGGTTTCAGAAATATGTCCCCTTTTGAGACACATGTCGGTATACTGATCGACAGAGTGACTGAAATTTAGACACCGATGATGAAATAGAATCCTTGCTTCACGATTACCTGTTTTAACGCATGGTGACCGCACGGGATGCCTTACAGAAACAAAAAAACACAGCATATCCACGGAATGAATGATGATGAGTGGGACGAAGCGTCCATGAATCCGTCCGTGCGTCCGCCTGCACGTATGTGTGCCCGCTCGTGCGTTCGTTCGTGCGTCCGTCCGTGCGTCCGTGTGTCTGTCCATCTGCTTTTCTGTCTATCCATGCGTCCGTCCGTCCATCTAGTGAACACTTCAAGTACCGCCATCTCACTTCTTTTCCCCATATATTCATCATATACAAGTACTGCCATCCAGCGGACAATCTAAGGACTAAATGAGAGTATTTACCACACTTCTGCTGTCAGCGCTTTGTTAACACCGAGAGGGTGATAACGACGCCGGGCTACGTTTTTCGTAATATGTGGAGATGCAGATATGTGCCCGAGGGGGGTATGTGCCACGGGTATGCAGGTATATGCCGAAGGTTACCCAGTACGACAACGGCGGACGCACAAGTCACGCCATAAGGAGCTTCGCCCCTTAAAAATGCTTCAAACGGAAACTCCGTCTGTGTATCTCATGAACACATTCACCAGAAGAAATAAACCTGAGGCAAAGACAGTCATGAGCGGACTGGACCGCTAACAAAAGGTCCGTCCCTTGCAAAGATTGATTCATGACAGTCTATGTGCTGCGTCTATATTTTTTTTTGAGGGGCGGGTCGTATGCGTAGTGGCGTTAGATGTATCTTTCGTTGCTGCATCTGCATTTGCGGTTGCCACTGTGGTACAAATTGTCGACGCATGACGATGTTTGCATATATCGCACTCTACTCTGCGACGGCAGTCTCATATAAGGTGCCCCTTTGCGGTGGACTTGAAGCAACGACCATCATATGTGAGGAAGCTGCTTTTTTTCTGCTAGGCTAAGTCGGCTAGTCCACTCTTTGGTGATATGGTCATTTGCCGAAAAGAAAAACGCAGGAGGAGGAGGAGGAGGAGGAGAAAGGGAAGAAATGAAAGGCAGGGAGGTCAACCAGACGCACGTCCGGTTTGCTACCCTGCACTGGTGGAAGGGATGAGGGGATTAACGGAGAAGAGAGAGAGAAGGGCAACGTGTGTGTAGATGTGACCTTGTCCATTGCACGCTTATAGGAGGTCGCGCTGTCCGGTCGTCTTTCGAAAACCAGCAATGCCCGCGTCGCTTTGCTGGCCTGCGACGCGTAGAGCCATGAACCAAGAATCTTCTCTTCGGAAAAAGGTCTACTGTCTAGTGTCTCTAACGTTTCGCGTAGCAAGTTGCGTTCGCTCGCAAAACGTTCACATGAACACAGTAGATGTTCTATTGTCTCGTCAGTGTCGCACGATTCACATCCGGAGCTATCCGCCATTCCTATGCGAAAGGAGTACGCCTTCGTAAAAGCTACTCCTAACCACAGGCGGCACAGTAAAGTTGCATCCTGGTGGGAGAGGTCCGATAGAACTTGAAGCTTCCTTGATGGGTCCAATTTGCGTAGGCGGCGGTTCCCGACATTGGGGTCACTCAGCCAAGTTTCCGACATGGTGTTAGCGAACGAGTGAAGGCCCCTTGCACTGTCGGTTCTCGACAATGGAATTGGGGTTGTCTGGGCGTCCACGTGGGCGGATCGGGCAGCATTATCAGCAAGGTCGTTACCGACAATGCCACAATGTCCCGGTAACCACTGGAACACCACGTCATGTCCTTTCGATAAAACCTCGTGAAGCACTTATCTTATTTCATTCACAAGTTGTTGATGCACATTTTGTCGTAAAGCTGATTGCAAGCTCTGAAGGGATGCCTTGGAGTCGCAGAACACAGCCCATTTTTGAGGCCGGGCTTCTGCGATATAAAGTATAGCAACACGTAAGGCGGCAAGCTCCGCTGCTGTGGACGCAGGACGGAGAAGAAACGATTGTCCTGTTGTGACGCAAGTTGGCAGCCGAAGGTGATGGAGGTTTGCAGGATCTCTGAGTGATATCGCTACGATCGGTCATCATACCTGGAGCTGAGACATTTGCGCTTCTCTCGTGACACTACACTTCGATTAAAAGAGCTTGGAGCAAACGACTGATCTCCTCTTGCGATGTCTGGGTACAGCTGGCGTCCTTTGCGACTGAACCTGACCACAGGCTCTTTCGTTTGTAGTAGTCGACTACGATGTCTGCGGGAACGACTTTTAGCAATACGTCGTTCAACATGGCAACCAATGAAGATGTGCTCACTCCAAGGCTGGCGAGTCCCCCCTGATTGACTTGAAACTCATCATACAACTCCCGTAAGGAAGTTCGCTATGGTTCACATGTTTACACCTACCCAACTTGTCCCACTTGCCAACAACAATAACCAGACTGTCGTTTCAAAGCAGGATTTTTTTAGGGACACAGTACCAGAAGACCACGCAATGTCCGTGTATCACCGTTGTCTACGCCAGATCTAGCGGCAGTGCATGTGAACAAACCGTAACATCTGTGAACAGGAGAAATCCTATCGGAAGGCTGTTAACCAAAATAAACAAAATAAAAGGCCATACACCGTGAAAACAACATTTAACAGCTCGTCCGTCAAAGCTTGTGATAGAACAAAAGAATATAAACCAAGTAAAACACCGTTAACCTGAGCAAAATAGAAAGCCACGATTCACGATCCGATACACACCACTCCTCCCCATCATCAGCATTCACTTAATTTATATGCGTGGATTTTTTTTTTCAGACGATGGCATATACAAGGAGCACCTCACGTTGCTCTTCTTGGATCTCAAGGTCACGAATGTGCTTCCGCAGTACAAATACCACGCTGGAGTTGACATCGCGGAAAAACTTATCAGGCACCTGTGGAGCGGAGGTGAGTTCACCCTGGAGTGCCGCCGTCGCATGAAGCGAAACCGAAAAATAACACGCGAGCCACACCATTTAAAACGGGCATATCGTCAATAAAGCATGACACGGCCTCTTGCACATTCCTCTAAAACACATCGATGGTGAAACCCATCTTTTAGGGGCGAAGCCCAGTACGCCATGGGTCGTATGTAACTTGTCATCGTAGTCGCCAATTGCTTCTCATTGCATGTCTATAAAAACGGTATCACAGCATATCCACAGAGTGAATTAGGATGAATGGGGCGTCCGTCAGTCCATCCGTGCTTCCGTCCGTCCACTTTGGCCCATTCGTCTTCATTCACCTCGTGGATATGCTAAATTTTTTTTTCTTTTCAGGCACATGCATAACTCCCAACTTCCCACCACCGAAAGCTTTCTGCACTTATCGTAGTTTGGCCCAGCCTTCCGAGAACAAAGGCATTGTAAACTTCGGCACGTCTCGCAGTTTTGAGAGGCCTCCGGGATCCACCCACTTTGATGGTGGCATCAAGCACACCCGTGGGCTGTATCAGTTTTAATTGACAGAAGTATTTGTTTTGTTCTAAGCGTCTAACATAATAAAATTAACCTCACGATAGAAACACTACCAAATCGCAACAGTTACACCTACGTTGATCGCAACAATGACATATTTATGCTGTATTCCTCACTGTCAGTAAGGCTGTGGCTTGACTCATGGTGTAAAAGCGAAAAAAAAAATACAGACGGGAACAGGAAAGAGGAGAGAAGCACAAACTGCGCTTGTTTGTGCTTCCTTCTTTTTTTGTGTGTTCCCGTCTGTTTTTTTTTTCTATGCAGTTAGACCATGAACCAGTACCTACTGGCCCAACTTACCACTCTTTTGCAACGTCTTCATTCATCCCAACGTTCGCTCGATGTCAGATGCCCGCTCCTCCTCCCTTAACGCTAAAGAGAAACGTACGCTTCTTGCACTATATATGAGCAGCCACTGAGGTGCCTGGGCCTGAAGATTTCACACAGTATATTCACTGCGTCCTCAATGAAATGTGTGAGTTCTTCTCAAAGAAGACTCCGCGAGGAAGTTCTAGAGGCCGTTCGGTGGGATCTGCTTAGATGTCAAAGTGCGTTACAGAAGTCCGGCCTCATTGTATATTTAAACACAAAGTCATTTGGTTCATAGGCACCTCGCGGTAAATATGCCTATACCAAGCAATATGGGAGACATCGCACAAATGTTCACAGTGCACTGTATATACCAAGCTATCTACTGAATATCCCTGGCTCCATTACAGTCTACGCCGGGAATGCGATGAACGTCTTGCTGTCTATTCGAAGCGTCCGTGATGGTGATGTGCTCCGCGGAGCGCTGCATACCATATACCGGATTATGCCGCTCATGCTCTCTAAGATTGGTAAGTATCATACACCAATTACTTTTACATGCGTATAAGTGTTTTTTACGCTGAATAAACGAAAAAAACTGTCCTCCTGGTCATCTCGTCGAAGAGCTTAACCAGCTCCACTGTTACAGCGTTGCTGACGCAAAATTTCATGGCCGAAATACCCAGCGGGGTCAATTTTCGTGAACATTCGTATATCATCTGCAAAATATAAACAGCGAATATAGCTTGTAAGCTATTTAAAACAATATTTGAAATTTAAGTGAGCGCTAGACTTCTTTCGTGCTATTGACAACCTCGAAAGAAATTCTTTGGGGAAATTTCCCCTTCACCACCCTGCAGTCAATAAAATAAAACGATGACGTCATAGCCGCTATATCTCTTTTGGCACGTTTGTTCTCGCTGCAGTCTGGTCTCGAGTGCATGGCCGTGGTGCACGCTTTGAAAATATTATGTTTGGCGACAATGCAGTCCCGTTTCCTATTCGAAAGTAATTCGTGATGCGGACCGTGCGGAAATGTGTCACAGTTCTGTGTGCTGACGTGGTCGAGAAAGCTATACGTGGCGATAGTTGCACCCGGCGGCTTCTCGTTTTTGGAGCTCTCTCAAAACGAAACTGAAACTGGCCATTAATGAGGGACCTGTAATTATTTATCTGCCGCGTGCTGCAGCAAATAATGTGTCGTTTGCTGCAGCACAGGCCCCGAGCAAGCCGTTGCAGCAGAAACACGCGAGACCATTTGTGTGTGTGTGTGTGTCAGTACACCTTCAAAAAGCAAGCTGAGCAATGGATGCAAAAACGAAAATGATACGACGACGTGTTGCTCACAACGACCTCTCATTGCTCCCCATAATTCCCGTGCGTATAAGTTGAAAGTAGATAGTTTTTGGAACGCAACATCAGATCGGGTCTCCTTGGTCGCTGTCATCACAAAAAATTGGCATGACCATAACACTGTACATTTAGCTATCATAGGGCAGTTCCGCCTAGGATGAGGCTGCGTCTTTGCGCTCTTAAATCCTTACCCGGGTGGGGTGTGATGGGGAGGCTCGCCATTTCTTACGGCCTTCGACACCGTACGACACCGTACGACCTCACATGGCATCAAAGGCCGTAAGTGTCAGCGCGGCAAGAGACGATTCCGGCCGTGGTTCCACTGGTAGATCCAGTTTACGCAACCGGACACGGGCATTATGAAGGGCTGTATAGGTAGCGCCTAACTCCACCTCTGACCGGTCGTAGACTGTGCCTGTCTGTTAATAGGGTCTTTCAGCAAGCTACGGACATAGGGTACGCAAACACGTTAAGGCAGTGCGGGAGCGCTTCTCTTTTCCAGTGACTGTGCATTCCCAATGAGGCGTGAGAACTCCGCGGTAATTTTTGAAAGAGCTCTTGCGTTGTTGCGCGCCTTAAGTGGTAAAAGGTCAATGACCGGAAAAGGAGTAGCGGTATACGTTCATGCCGTACTGTATTTCCGTAAACTGACTAAAAGCCTCTAATGCGCCTGAGTGCACGTGCGCGCTACGGGCACACGTGCACTCAGCACGTGTGCAGCACAGCATGGTTAACGGGCGATGGTGAGGGTTATCGATGTTGTTTAAATCCCGGCGCTACACATAAAACCACGTTACTCTCGCAATCTACCTGACAGGTGTAGACGTTAGCAACACCGACCAGCCCATAGACGCTATACGGGACCTGTACCTGAAGCTCGGCATAACGGGTCATCGTTGGCAAGGAGACGGTGCCACGAACTGCGTCTCGTACCTGCGGCCGCCTAGGAGGCTGTACAGCATCATCCGCAACCGCCAGTCGCAAGCACCGTACCACTACGTCGAAAAGGCTTACCAGTGGACTGTCGACATTCCAGAGCAGCTGCGAGGTTCGCTCAGGTGAGTCATATATGTGGTGGCTTATCAGGACGACATCAAAGTTGCATGCCCTATTGTCAAAAGCCACGATGGCGATTCCTCTGGCGAGGGTTATCTCAAAACACCAAGCGAGTATACATTCTTTCCTATCGTGTCCAAGCAGAATGAGCTGACTTCACCGGGAGTTAGATCATTGGTAGAGATTGTGTTTATATCCCTAGGATATTCGTACCAAACCGATAAAGAACTTCAAAGGATTATATTTTTGTTTTGCTCTGTAGTTCTCGGTGGTACTCGAAGACAGTGTGCGAGAAGCTGGCTTCGTCACAATCTTCGACGCGAATCGAAGCGTTGCAAGGCCTTTGAATTGCCTTGCCTTTGTGTTAATCAGGTAGGTGTATGAACGAACCACGGGAAACTTTTTCGAAGGGCTCATTTTTTCGTTATAAACGACCACATAAATTTAACAGACAATTAATTCAAGAAAAGCATATGGCACATTACTTGCTGTTTTGAACTGCAATGTAGCCCTTAAGACATCAAGTGAATTTAATCAAAGTGGTTGAAGTTTAACCTTGTCCGTCGGTCGGATACGAACTCACGTGTTAGTCGCCTTGGCTACAAGTGGCATTTGCCAACCCTCCCGTAAAGGCGATTGTCCCAGGTACGATCCCACTTGCCAATATGAATTTCACGGCAACTCTGCGGCCTCCTTTGTTTATGAGAAATCCGTATAAATTTGCTTGCGTATTCGGGCTACAAACACGTGCCTGTAAATTTTCCTTCCTTACTCCCACAGATTTATTACACATGCAGAAATGCCGAACAAACTTGACGTATAAATACGTTCCGTCATACCTTGATTGGTCGAGCATCGAACGTGTAATTTGAAGGTTGTAGGTTTGCATCTTACTTACGAATGAGGTATTTCTTCCTCCTCTTTGATTCATTTGAATTTATGTGATATTTATTACACGACAACCAAAAAAAAATAATTACTTTCTATTCTTTACTTGAGATAGTTATCTGTTGGACTCATTCAGGCAGTTTTAAGCGTTACATGAGCTCACCCGGCATGACAACTATGCCTAAAAGCAAGCGTGTATATGGTTCGACCAACGTTTACACTCGAGTACTTGCACATGCGTAAGTTACAGCGAATATAAATGATTTCACCAGATAGCTTACCTGAGTCTCGCAAAGAGGCGTTTGTCGCAGTGTCCGGTAAACAGCCAGGCAACGTGACACTGTAATAGCAAAGCATAAGGACAGCAGGGTATGTCTAATATTTATTACGCCGTAAAATAGTGGTCGGTGGCAACGCCAGCCGAAAGTTTGCAAACAAGTCTATAGTCAGTGCTGACCACCACTCAAGCCACTCGATCACGTTAGCCAGCACTGGTCTGTGTAACCAAACGCTTGCCGGCATTTAATATTAATAGTTGTTGGGATTTAACGTTTCAAAACAGCCATGTGACTATGGGAGGCGCGGTATAGTGGAGGGCTCGCGAAATTTCAATGATCTGGGGCTCTTTAACGCGTACCGAAATCCAAGCACACGGGCCTCAAGCATTTTCGCTTCCACGGAAAATGCAGGCGCAGCAACCGGGATTCGATCCCGCGACCTGCGGGTAAGCAGCCGAGTGCCTTAGCCACTAGACCACCATGGCGGGTTGCTGACTCTTAAACCAACCAGTGTTAATTCCAGGAGCGCAAATACGATGCATATCGCGGAACTTGTGTGTCATGACATGTCACTCGCCTGGAGCATATACACGCTAGCCATGTCGTGTAAATTCTGATATGTGCTATCGGCGTGAAACGAAACCGGAACAGCCCCCGGAGTTCTCAACCCTATATTGGTGCCGTCCAGTTATCACCATGGGCAGGTGCATATATGCGCGCAGTGCTGCCAAACTGGATGTGCGCGCCTGTTAATAGCGATGACTACAGGGCACGCACTGTACCATAGCGAATGCTTGTCGATTTGCTGGTTTCATTTGGCGCCGATAATACTCAGTAACTCACGCAATAAAACGACTACTACAAATAGATAGATAGATAGATAGATAGATAGATAGATAGATAGATAGATAGATAGATAGATAGATAGATAGATAGATAGATAGATAGATAGATAGATAGATAGATAGATAGATAGATAGATAGACAGATAGATAGATAGATAGACAGATAGATAGATAGATAGACAGACAGACAGACAGACAGACAGACAGACAGACAGACAGACAGACAGACAGACAGATAGACAGATAGATAGATAGATAGATAGATAGATAGATAGATAGATAGATAGATAGATAGATAGATAGATAGATAGATAGATAGATAGATAGATAGATAGATAGATAGATAGATAGATAGATAGATAGATAGATAGATAGATAGATAGATAGATAGATTAGTTTCGCTCCGATACTATACGTATCCCGTATAGCTCTAAACATGAACTAGAAACGATAGAATGCGTACCAGTTAGATATCTTACAATTTTTTAATACCTTGAAAAGCGTAAGCGCTTGACCAGAAGTGCTTTAGAGAGACACTGAAGACAACCATTAAGTCGACGTTGATTGTTGAAATAGCGGTCCACAAACCTCGTAGTGTCACTTTTGTGCCAAGGGAAGTGCTTATTTTTTAAATAAAATTTCGTTTTAGTGATCAATATTATGTTAGCGCACTTCAAATTACCCGCCTCAAGCAGAACGTCTCGCGTCACTGTTGCCGTGCGCAACGTTGCGCGGCTTCACTGCGTTGCCGCCGACACTAGAAGCAGCAGAACGAAAGTAGCGAGAGCCACAGCAGCAACAATGGGCCATTGAACCGTTTCCTGCCAAGGCCTCAGAGATGGTAGACGTGCTTGTTTCAACTAGATGGTACGACCTGTCCAGTTTAACCAGGCGAAAACAAAACTTTTGAACCACTCGCGCCATTCCCCACATTAAAGTGCGGTAGTTTTTTTTTTCTATGAATCAAACAGAAGTGAACAAGTAACATTTTATTACGTCTCTTGATGCACGAAAGGTTCTTTATTTGGTGCAGCTAGTTCGATTACTAGTGATAAATTGTAGACGGTACCTCTCACATCATCTGGATAATTTTGTGAATGTCCTACGCGTAGCGCTCTGTTCTTGTGCATTTACCCTAATATCTCAATAAGTATAGGGCACTGCTGTTGACAATATTGCCATTTTACACAGTGTCACACATTGAGCATTCACTCTGACGTAATTTGTTATTTGACTATAGTGTCCGTTAAAAGAGAAACAAGAGGGTCACTAGGTGCTCGTGCTGCTGAATAATTCAACGAAAAAAAAAAACAGCAATAGAACTAAGCTGGAGGCACTCATTGAGATGAAAAGACACGGCGTGCACAAAAAAACTCACTTCGCTCTCACGCGATCTCGCAGGAAAGGTGTGGACGCCATCATCACCAACAGACCGGACCGCCTAGCCGCCATCTTGGGGGAAGACGAGTTTCGAGACGCGGTTCGAACCGCCACCGTTTACGACAATCCCTGGACTCGATTCGACGACCTCACGCACGAACGTTGATGGAGGAATGGGACAACTGAAATACACAGTGTTTAAATGTGTGTAAGTGATTCTTAAAAGAGAGAAAAGAAGATAAAAGCGAGCCCCGTAACTGTCTCCATCATAGTGGCTCACGAGGGATGGGGGTAAGGAGGGATTAAAAGGGATATGGAGGATTAAAAGGAATAGAAATAGATATAGGGACAGGGACCGTCACATACATAAGTAAGGAGAAGATGGGAAAGATGGACATGGTCGCAGGAGTCCGAGGACGGGGAGCCACTCAGCGAGAGCTCTTGTCGGTGGCAGGAGATGGCGGAGGGCGAGCTGGTCAGCCAGAGCTGCGCTGTCGTCGGAGATCGCGGGGGGGGGGGGGGGGGACAACCAGTCGGCACGAAATCCAGCGAGCGAGTCCATGTTCGAGTCTCAGCACAACCGTCCCAGTGGCCCTGCAACACTGCACGAACACGTTCAGGAAACGCTGACGATCGGTTTTCGACATGTGTGTCACCCTCAACCGCAATGCAACACCAGTGTGCAACCCCCCTCCCCCCTCCCCACGAGAAAATCCTGCCAACGATCATGGTTGTCCACGCTCCCGGGAACATGTGAGCTAAACCTTATCGTGCAGAGCGTGGCAGGAATCTACAGTTAAGTTTCAAAGTCAGCTAGAACTTGCCGAGTCCTCACTCGACAAGTGACACAAAATACCAATCTTTACTGCGTCACAAGCGCACGGACACAGCCAATGGCTAATTAGAACATCGTCAGCTGCATAGTTTTTGCGGGGTGCTGTGAGGCAGCTGCGCTGCGCTCAATAGTACTAAGGTTTGACACGATGTAGAATTACAATAGTGTGCTCGTGATCACAGTCAATGTGAACCACGTGTTCGAAAAACATGTTCAAGATCGAGACGCTCCATGAAGTACGGGCATCGCTTCTTGCTCCCTGGGACGAAAAGAGACAGAAAGGTCTTGAAGCGTGCAATCATTCCTTTAACACTGCTCGTACTTCGCGAATTAAAAAAATATTGTTTCGGAAGTCGATTCGTAAGGCAATGAATTCCGATGGTGGGGTCATTCAATAATTACATGGGAAGGTGTTGCAGGACTACCTTGAATCTCGCGTTTCGGTATTGGATCTGGAGCTCCTGCGTTCTTATTAATAAAGGTGCCGCCATGGATGCCTAGTAACATACATGAATGAAATTAAAGAAAGACAAAAATACCTGCTGTCAATTGTTCAGCCACGGTATAGTTTTGTTAGATTTTCCCCCGTTTTTTATCGTTTCCGTCGTTCTACATTTATCATTGTTACAGCGTTACCCTTACGCAATGCCCGACAGGGCTTATGAAGTCGTTTTTTTTTCTAAATAAAGACTGAAGTGGTATACGGTCTGCATGAACGCCGTAAGCGAAAGCCTTTTTCTTTTCTGTACGCTACGCAGAAATTTAAGGTTTTCTGCATGCTGTAATTTGAGTACATTACAAATATGCATGTCCTGCGCCCACCGGATACATTTTTCTTCTTGTTTTAGTTGTTTCCTCTGTATATACAACGTCTCAAATCAGTTAAAGGTCTCATTGAAAAGCGGTACCTCTGTTTTACATTTATTTTCTGTGTGCGCCTTTACTCGTACCATTTTTTTTTCATGTATATGTTCCAACTCGTCAGAATCACCATTTTGTTAGTACATGGATCGCAATGTTAATAAAGAGGTCAGCGGTGGCACGTAGCGGGAACCTTCATCGGGCACTATGTCTAACCTATTTTAAGTTATTAACGCATTTTCAGAAGTTCTATCGCTAGCCTGCTGTCTCCCTTGAAAGAGCTCAATGTCTCATGCTACAATTTGGAATGAATTTGTAAATGAACTGAAGATTGTATTGGAGAGAGTGCGACAAGCTCTAAATCGCAAAAACTCTTGAAACAACGAAGCTGATGCCCCGCGCCTTTCGTAAGGCCTACCACCACCCACCTTTGCGCTCCTTTCATTCGTCCCCCCTTTTCACCGAGCCTCTTTGCGTGGCTCTCCTTGTGTCACCCTTTCCACCGAGCCTCGGAGTCGTCCTTCTTTGCGTGCCTCTCATCGTGTCGCCCTCTCCCTCTAGCGTCATTCTCACTTACTCTGGTTACAGTGTACTTCTAGTACGCTGTACTCTGATGGAGCAGCCCTCCCCCTTCGAGCCGAGTCACACTCTCGCCATTCCACAGGGTCACGTGACCAGCGCAACACCATCAACAGACGAGGAAGCCTTGACTGACAACAGCCTGGTGAAAGTAATAAATTACGCTTACAGCGTAAGCATACAATAGAAAAACCTTTGTAGCAACGGGACGCACTCCTCTATAGCTCAGACCCGGTCCAACTAGCGCTTCTGGACCATGTCCGGCTGGCAAGCTTTGGCATGGGGTCCCACCAACTATCTTAAGCCCCTTTTCTTTCTCTAAATAAAAGTTATTCTTCTTCTTAAAAATGAGAACACGATGCGAATACCGTGCACTCCCGAATAGATTTGACCACTTGAGGTGCTTTAATGTGCAGCTAAATATGTATGCTTCTGCGTTTCGCCCCACCGAAGCTCTCCAGTGGCCTTCGAACATGGCATTAGTGCCCTAGTGTTTAAGGTGTTTGAAAATGCCATCACCTCAGCCGCCAAGCTACCATGGCGTGTTTGCAACTAGCACAAGGAAAATCGTATATAAAGTAAGACAGGACTGACGCACTTGTTTACAAGACATTTGCTGTGAATTATCGTTCCATACGCCCCCTTGTCTGGTGCACTAAACGTTTAGACGTGAAGCACGTCTTTGACCAGCCTGTTTAACGCTGTCTGACTATGTGGCCGACTAAGACGTGACCGTCTGCATAAACAGAGGGAATCGTAAGGCTATTGGCTGATTTGATCACCGCGACGACATGCTCAGTGACGACGTGCGCGTGACGTAGTTTCTTTCCTGTGTCTACTTGCTTGCTACAGCCTACTTGTCTTACATCAATGTAGTCAGGCTGTCGCCTTCTTGTGTTACAACGGAGACAGTAACATCCGATAAATTTTCTGTAGTGTTTCGGCCTGTCAGACTCGCAATGGGAAGTCGTCCTGCTGCTCACGAGGAACACTATTATTCGTGGCGCCAATTAAGCGGCGTTTACATTATTAGTGTGTTCGTATCATGCTCTTCGTCATCCACAACACCTTCTGAAACCAACATCATGAAACAGCATTATCTTTTATGAGAAAGAACTTCAAAAGGCCATCCACGGTCGTTATATACAACATTATTTCAACAGAATCCTCTTGTTATGCTACACGTTAGATGGCAGTTAGAGAAGGTCTTCATTGTCAAATGAGCGAGGAAATCTCGCCTCACCTAATAGCATGCCGTCACTTTTTCCTCGTATTGTTTACAGCAGCCTACAACAATCTAGTATAGATAAGTAGAAGTTGAAGTAATATAACGAAGATACGCCATATTGGATACGTCGGTAATTTTTCTATATCTCTCAGCACAATTGCTTGTCTGCAGATAATAGGATTTGTTGCTCTCGTCGTTTCGTACAGTTCCTTGTTACGCTCCATGCGCTTGCGTCGTCTCGACGCAAGCGTCTATAAAGTGACACGCTTCCAGGTAAATTTGTTAGAAGCCAATCCTCGTTATGTCCCTGCTTCTGTGAGTAAGTATGTTACTTATCTTTTCAGCTTTTAGACATACTGCGATTAACGGGGCGCTCAAGTGAAACAACCAATTGGTTTACAATTTTAAATTATACTCCGAAGTCTCTAAGTTCGTCGTCATAGATTTATTAATAGAGGACAAAATGAAGTTTGACGCTTCGTGTTTCAAATTAGCTCCGAAATTACCGTGTGTGATGTCACCGACTTCACACGTCATTTTTTTTTTCGTATTTTCACGACTTCCGCGCAAACAAATTTCCAGAAACATGGCCCGTTAAGCCCCTCTGAAAAGGCCAATATACATTATACTAACGGATTGAAACAGGACATTTTTAGGTTAAGTAACGCACGTGATTTCGCTTCCATCATCTTCGGGCAATGTCAGCGTAATTTCGGCTCTAACGTGTATATCAAAGCCTATATATTCTTAAGAGACCAAATTCGTCTCGACAGGACAATATTTCTCGAGTGAATGTCGCGTTGCAATACACGAGTTGTGTACCTAATTTTTACTGATTGGCAGCTACGTGGGACCTATAGGACGCCGTCAAAATTTATGACACCAGGGTGTTTGGTGCGCGAACTTAAAGGTGGCAACGCCACCTTCTTTTCGCGCTCTTTCCGGCTTACCAAACGCCTTCTTGCTGTGAGCGTAGTGATTTTTGGAACCAATAAATAGTAATTTACTCATATGAAAAAAAAATCGTTTCTCTGTTTGTGTTCCTTGGACAATCCATCATTTCTATGGCCTTAATTACGTGTCAAGGGCACGGTATATTCATAAGGCACGTGATACGGTGCAGGACTCCGCAAGGAACATCTGAGGCTCTTCGATTCCACCTATGTTTGTACGTACAAGGGTGTTCTCGCGTTTCTACTCTATCCAAATGTGGCCGCCGTCGCAGGGAATTCCATTAGCCAGTGCACTCGATCTTAGCAGCACGCCGCCTTACCTGTTAACTTACTATGGCTTTTTTTTTTCAAGTCACAAGAACTACTACATACTTTACATGCGAAATTTCAGAACGGGTAACCCGTGCGCTCAGATAAGGTAATAACGATTTGTGGTGTTTAACGTCCCAAAACGACCATATGACAATGAGAGACGCCGCAGTGGACGGCTCCGGAAAATTGGACAACATAGGTTTCTTTAGCGTGCAACCTGCGACTACGAGCACTCGGGCTTGCAGCATTTTCGACTGCATCGAAACTGCAGCCGCTACAGCCGGGATTCGATCCCGCGACCTGCGGGTCAGCAGCCTAGTACCCCAGCCACTATAGATCACCATGGAGATAAGGTAAGCGCACGTTAACGATCATGGACACGGGTTGACTCGGTAATAGAATGATCATCATAGGCCGTAGAGAAGAGCGCGGTGACAAA